TCTATTCCACATTCCGTATGAGTCTGTCATTCAATTCGAAAGGTTCGCGAAATGGGAAAGGCTACATCGCACAGTAGCTTATTTGCTGCGTTTCACTAACAACATCAACAGAAAGCGACGCAACATTTCTGGCGAGTTGCATCAGGAAGAGCTGTAGGCGGCGGAAGCGGTAATCATAAAGCAGGTGCAGTGGAAAACGTTTCCGGACGAGATGTCGATTCTCACGAAGAACAAGTCTGCTGGGGAAGGTAATGCGCAACCGATTCCAAAAAGCAGTTCGGTGTATCAACTGGTACCTACGCTGGATGAATATGGAGTTATGCGACAGAGTGGGCACATTGGAGCAGCCAAACATGCGTCATACAATCTCCGGCATCCTGTGATTCTTCCCAGAAGGAGTGAAGTGACTACACTCGTGGTAGATATGTACCACCGGAAGTATAAGCATACTAACCCGGAAACCGTAGTCAATGAGATCCGTCAGCATTTTGAAATTCCTCGACTGCGAACCATAGTGCGAAAATGCAGCCTTGAGTGTTGGTACTGTAAACTTCGCAGAGCTCGGCCGTACATTCCTCCGATGGCTCCACTTCTAGCAGCTCGTCTTGCAATCTGCAGCCGTCCATTCAGTTTCGTTGGGTTAGACTATTTCGGTCCGTTGTTGGTGAAGCAAGGAAGAGCGAGCGTGAAAAGGTGGATCGCACTTTTCACTTGTCTCACCGTGCGCGTAGTCCATCTTGAAGTCGTGCACAGCCTGACTACTTCGTCATGCGTTTCCGCCGTACGAAGGATCATCGGCCGTCGAGGAGCACCAGTAGAGATACACAGCGATAATGGGACCAACTTTCAAGGCGCCGAACGACTTCTGCGGGAACAAATCGAGCAGGGACTATCGGCAACATTCACCAGCTCGAAGTGTAAATGGATCTTCATACCGCCAGGTGCCCCACACATGGGCGGCGCCTGGGAAAGGATGGTACAGTCAGTAATAAAGGCCGCGATGGGTGAAGCTTACAGGGATGGGAAACTTGACGAGGAAGGACTTGGGACTTTGGTTGTGGAGGCTGAGAGCGTAGTGAATTCTAGGCCTTTGACGTACTTGCCGTTAGACTCGGATGAATCCGAAGCACTAACTCCGAACCATTTCTTGCTCGGGAGTTCAAGCGGAGTCACGGAACCAAGTAGGGACATTCGCTATCAGCAGCAGAATCTACAGAAAACGTGGGTGGATATTCAACAGCAACCGGATATCTTCTGGAAACGGTGGCTGAAAGAATATCTTCCAGTCATTCGTCGGCAGCCGAAGTGGTTCGAAGAAGTGGCGAGGGAGATCAGGGTTGGAGACTTGGTCCTCATTCGAGGACCTGATGGAAGAGTACGTCAAGCTATCGTGTGGACCAAAGGAGGTACTATGCGGAGACCGGTAACAAAGATTGCCTTGCTGGATGTTGGAGAGATCGGTGCAGTCTTGGTCGATGGCAAGATGCACCCGGCGGAGGATGTTGCCGCAAGTCTACCGATCTACCACAGGGGTGGTGATACGGGTAACCCGGTAGCTCAAGGCGACGCGTCCAACAAAAACTTCATGCGCTGTCACCGATGATCAGTTAGGCTGAGAGACAATCAATCTGTCAAACAAAAACCCACACGACCTCGGATGACTACGGTGTTTTAGTGGAGAAAGGGAAGATAAAATTAATTGTTAACTTTCACGTTAATTATTGTTTGAATTAGTAAGGGTTGATATAATTTACCTAAAAGTAGTGAATTTATAATACTCTATATTCTAGTATTTGTAGATCACTTTGCCGCGGATAAAATCTAAACATAACCTAAAACTGCATTGAAGCACTAAATTGTAAGTCTACGAACTAATTATCCTAAATCTACGAACTATGATCCTAATTATTCCTATTTGTAGCTTTGAGGCTGTTTGAAATACACTGCTTTCGAAAATTAGTGAGAGGGGTTTTATTCCGGCAACACAAATCGTTCGCGAGATATATGTTTTTCTATTGATGCGTATCATTTTTACATAAGCCCTTTTCAAGTGTTAGTCGTGTACAAAACTAGGGAACCAAATATGTAAAATGGCATGTTGGACAATAACAAACAACTGTGCAAAGTTTCAACATAATCGTAGAAGGTCGATCAAAAAATTTAAAAAAATTCGTCATTTGAAATGGAACTGCTGTTCTTCGACATTGACATAAAAAACTGGCAACATATTTGGTGCCCCCAGCTCCAGCAATAATCGCTCCAGTTCCGGTTCCAGTTCAGGCTTCTCATCGTTCTTTCTGGCCCTTAGGAACGACTACGGCCATGCCAATAGACCAGCCCACATTTATATGGGGGAAATTTTTTATAACGGGCCAACCGTTAGATTTGTGACATTAGGTAAGAAAGCCACTCTTCGAAAATTTCAGCTCATTCGGATGTAATACGAGCTGGCGCTTTTGATTTAAAATTTATATGGGGATATTGGTTGAAATGTATCGAGAAATAGTATTCCATCACTCTTTCGTGCATAGAACTGGTTCAGAAAACTCGATTAAGCTCAGAATTTCAGCACTCGTAGCTTAAACTTTAAGGTACAACTTTGCTGAAGACAGCATCACGATTTAAGTTAGTATTATGGATATATTAATAAATTATGTGCATTCTGCTACATGTGCAACAAAATAGAGGCAGTTTATGTAACGTATCAACTAGATTACCCCTGAAAATAAGAGTTTATATTTTCCACAGGCCAACATACAGGCTCGTGTCTTTTGGTGCGATAACCACTGTCTGAATGTTTCAGCTCTTTTTGACGTTACTCGGGTTGGCGCTTTTGGTTTCATGTTCAAAAAGGTTATTTGGTTGAAATTTTCATAAACAAAATGCTCATATACATTCAAAAGCGAATATCTCAATAAAACTAACTGGATTCATGATGAAATATTCAGCAAAGTTGTTACTCATTAAGTGAACTACAAGTTTTGAAAATCTGAATCAAATCGAGAATAAGGAAACTTTTTTATGATCGATAGAGTGTAGGAGTGTCCTTTTTCCATTTATTTTATCCGAAATCCCCATACAAAATTCAAACTAAAAGCGCCAGCTCATCTTACAACCAAATGAGCTGAAATTTTAAGAGAGGGGTTTTGTCACCTAAATAAAGGCACACATCTAGAGGCTGGCCCGTGGAAAATTAGAAATTTTATTTCTGTAAGCCAGTTTACCACGCCAGCCACTGTTGGCATCGTCGTTAATCACCATCATCCTCCACCTTCCTTCATCCTATCGCCCTCGTCTTGGTCTTCCTCACCACGGATTTCACCGCTTTTGCCAACGTATTCCAAAAGTATTTTATAACCTCACAATTCGACAGTGAGCATGCATTAGGGCTTAAACGCGATGATCGATTCTCTTCGTCGATTTTTTTTCTTTTGTTAATAACTCGCTAGAATTAACGATTCTCACCGCGTTTGCTGTTGCTTTTGGTAGCTAATACAACCTGTTACAACTCTGCATTGAACAAGCAATGCATTGTAGCAATGCAAAGAGAAAATCGTCGAAGAGAATCGATCATCGCGTATACGCCCTTGTGTATTCTCACTGTCGAATGCTTCAATACACGACGTGTAAATATTTACATCATTGACAAATCTCAGGTAATCGTAACATTATGATCTTTGAAATTGTTTATTTCTCATTCACTCTGGGCTAAAATTCACGATGATGAATGAAATTTGGCTAGAATTATATCATTGCTGAGATCCAGAGACCACGCACGTTGAGTAACGCTGCTTTAGAGCACTTGAAATGAACCAACTAACGGACGTCATTCGATACGCTCATAACTTCTCCGGATGACGAAGCACAACAATAACAAAACAACGCACAACACAAGTTGGGTTAACCATGTAGTGATGCTTAAATGTCACGTCGCAATAATAAAAGAAAATTGTAATAGCTTTTAAATTGTGTGCTGTGCCAAGTTAACTGATGGCGGAAACAATAAGGTAAATGTCATTGAGCATGTCCTGTGAAGGGTTGCCGACGTAGACGTCACAGAGAATAAATAATTCGTGATTGAAACAGGCTACATTTTACAAATACCGCGTCCTATACATATATATGTAGATGCCAGGAGTCCCCATAACTCAGAAAGAGTGAAACTAATTCGCATCAAGGCAAGGCATGAACCTCTCAACGGTTGTCTCGAAGCGTCATGACAGAAGGGAAAATAATCGTCCCGTACAAATTCCGAGAAAACGGGACAAGTTCACATTGCTATCGAAAAGTCTTCGCATTTACATGATTCGATTGAAGTATCAACGTTTGTCAAAGGTGAATCACGTCTGTTGCTGCCAGGTTTGGATGGAGACATTTCTGTTACGTTTTATCCCAGTTAACCTTTGGTTTATGTTAGCCTTATAAATTTTGGGAATTTGTTGAAGTTTCTGGAAATGAAAACATTTTTCTTGGATATTGGAAGAATTCCCACGCAGTTCAAAAAAGTAGTGTAAATGTCTGTTGTACCGGAACTACACTAGGGTCGGCACTACTACACCATTTTATAATTTTATGATCATCACATGTCTCGTCAATGTTCTAGTGGGTCGCTATCAAAAAAATACAGGCCCGCTGATCTAATGGATTAAGATTGAGCTTTCCACATGTCTATCTTCAAGAACAAAAGATACTAATGTGGTTTCATTAGGTTCTGATTCGTTTACCTTTGTGATTCATGAAAGGAGATGTTTGATTTTCAATCAACTTTGTATCTAAATTATCACTATATACAATTTGTTTAATGGTTCTTGGACTGACAACGCTCACAGGTAACGATGCCAAAACGAGTGAACGCATTCCGATATTAAGAAATTTATGCATCACACATAAATCTTTCTGAAATATTGCTTCAATACCAACGTTGAACCGAACGACCTAAACATGCAAATCGCGTAAACAAGAATTTATCGCTTCCAATCATTTACAAACGAACAACTCACCTGAAAGCTATGGTTGGCATTTTTCGTACTGCACTCGGCGAAACACAGATCGGAGAGATCGATTTCATCGAAGAGTTCACTCTGAAATGAAAATAAAAGCGAAAAAAGCAATACGTAAATGGAACGGTTCAAACTGTGCGGGAAAGCTGCTCATTTTAATGACTTGGTAGTGTGCTCAGCAAAACCCAACGCCTAACATCCTTTTATCCTTTTAATTATGACTTCCATCCGCTCGTTTAGTCTGCCATGGCGAAATGTCGACGGAATCAAACCAGCCAGCAAACATGACGAGAAGGCGCAAACACCGGAACCGGCAGTTTCTGGTTGAGATCAACAGATTCCCTCTCTCCTTCCGCTAATTGCTCATCCCGGCATTGACTAATGCGCATTAATTTGGAGCTGCTGTGTGGTTCAGATTTTGGGACCAATATTAATGGTCTTCGCAAAAAGAAAACTTTTCTCCATTGTTCGTTCTGTCGACCGATACCGACGGTCGAATTTCTCGACAGAGCTGATAAGCATGTTTTTGAAAGCGTAAAACTTTCTGAAGAATTAAACATGAAACTCGTTTGCTGACGCTATTATTTTTGTGCAAGTTTGTCCAAATTTCCTACTTATTTTTATAATTGAATTGTATCAAATTCAAGCACGCGAGGCTCGATTAACGCGTGGAAGCATAATTTCCAATTACTGAAGAACTCTCAAGAAAAAGAAAAAACGACATGCTTCACGTGCCATCTTTCCATTGAATGTCTTTTGCTGCTGCTTCCAAGTACCAACTTTCTGCTGGTGGGAAAATTTTGCTCGCTAAATTGCACTCAGCATATTTCCATCAGCAGCGCTCAACGACGTTGACGATCTTCTTCTAGGAGCGTGATAACGATCGAATGAGGGAGACCGTCAAATCTGCTATAGGGAACATTCGCCCCATTGACGTCAGCTGGAGGGCAGAACGGACAGGATAAACAGTGTCTGACAAAAGTCAGAAATTATGTATCTCTTCCAAATAAAATAAAAACGAGGGTATTATAAAAGGCTCATGATTTTATTCTTCAATTCGCTTTGATTATGTAGTAATTAAATAAATAACAGATTACACTCTTTTCCCTTCCCGACAAAAGTAAAGCAACCAATGAAACAACTGGAATCGAAAATCAAAATATTCAATATTTCGTGCCGTACCCCATGATTCTTTAAAACCGCCGCACAGCGTAGAGGCATAGAGTCAATTAGATTGTTAATAGTGTCTTGTGGAATCTCATTCCAAGCTTTCCCGCATAAACGTGAACCATAACTTGACCTTACCGAAAATGGTTAAAAATGGTTTATAATCCCTGCTAAACTTTAACTGAAGTGGTTATGGAACTTTACCTGACCTTACTGACTACCATAACCATTACCATTAAAATTCTCAAACCATAAGTAAAAAGGTTCTTATATAGTTTTCTTTCCGAAAATGTATGGAGAAAACAAGAATTTTGTATGGTAATGGTTCTTAACAACCCATTATTTGTAAGGTTCACTTCACACAATACATAAGGTTACAACTTTTGCACACAAACGTTCATGTAAAGTTTCATAACCATTTCAGTAAAAGTTTAGCAGGGATTGTAATTTTTTTTAACCATTTTCGGTAAGGTCAAGATATGGTTCGCGTTTATGCGAGTTGCTAAGTGCCAAAAACAATTCGTTTGTGTTTTTATAGCCAACACCACATCGGACCCTGCGATTCACTATTTCCCATAATTTTTCGATAGGATTTAAGTCCGGAGAGTTGGATGGCCACGGTAGAACCTGGATGTTGTGTTGCTGGAACCATTGTTTTGCAATTTTGGACGTGTGCTTCGAATCATTGTCCTGTTGAAACCACCACCACACTCTTCTTCTGCATACTGAAGCATCACATTTTGCATTATCTCACGGTACATCATCCCTTTCATTATTCCATTTATGCGATGAAGTGGTTTCACACCTTGAGCCGAGAATTAACCCCAAACCATTAGACTACACACTTTGAAATAACTATTTTTACACGTGACGAAATTCATATTTGATGTAAATCATGGAACGTAAACAAACATTTCATGTAGAATTAAATCAACAGTGAGCATGCATAAGGGCGTATACGCGATGATCGATTCTCTTCATTGATTTTCTCTTTGCATTGCTACAGCAAAGCGAAACAATTTTCTAGAATTTGTCCAATGCAGAGTTGTAACAGGTTGTATTGGCTATCAAAACCATTAGCAAACGCACCGAGAAACGTTAATTCTAGCGATTTATTAACAAAAGAGAAAATCGACGAAGAGAATGGATCATCGCGTTTACGCCCTTATGTATGCTCACTGTCGAAATGTTCCAACACCGAAGCATACGCAACTCGACGAAACGTGCGTTTGATTGAATTGATTTTCCCGTCTCTTTCAACTGATTCTTATTTCATTAGGGCCGCTTACACTCAAAAATATTACTAAACCAAGATAGATTATAATTTAATCAACTTTCGTATTTGTAATATTTATACATTGATCTGATTAAATTTTAACTCAAAATTATACTAAGTTCGAATAACGGAGCGAAATTCGTTCAGTGTATACCAAGGTTTATATACAAATCAATGCTTATTATTCTGTCAAACTCAAAGCCGCCCGCTCATACTCGTTTCATTTTCATCCGTCGGTCGTGTTTTGTATATTTGTGGATATTATTTAGTGTTAAAATTGGTGAAAAAATTTGAAAGAAGATTTCATAAGAGTAAGGTATGTTATAAAAACAAATATAAATAACTAACCATCTAGATATATAACTTTCTTTTCAGAATGAACCAAATATACGAAGATCTAGGAGAGGAGGTCACGGCCATCTTGATCGGTAAGTGGTGAAAGTGCATCCGTCGGTTTTGTTTTCTGAAAAACTGACTAAATTACTACCTAATGATTATTAATATCGACCCAATAGTGCTACCATAATGAACACCATCTCCGATCAGATTTATGATTATGACAGTTTAACTGCAGGGTTCTGTCTGTTAAATAATTTTATGATAAACGTAGTGTGGAAAATTAAAAATTAATAATCAAGTAGTATGTTAGTTTCAAGATGCATGATTTATTGCCAATACATTTGCACAATATATCAAACCATATATTAATATCATATTATGTGGGAAACCAACATGTGAAAAGGGCATAAATGCTATTTGTTAACAAACCTTTGTAAACCCTTTTCTCGTCAACCGAAGGTCGCCCACGCAAACCATCAACATCAATGGGTAGTGAAAACTTTGTTGATGATGTTGTGTGTTATCCGTTGTCTAATGTTAAGTGTTCAGTTTGTACATCCTCCGGTTGACGATGGTGTCAATTCAATGCCAACATTTCAAAAGGGCGAAATTGCTTTTGTAAACAATTGCTTTAGTCGTTGATTTCTCACGAATACAAGCACATTAACCTCACCATCAGATAGATAATGTGTCCAGGCATTGTAAGTTTGCAGGAGTGAGCTTTTATTTGCCTGAAATCGGAACTTGAAGTCATTGTTTACAAAAGCTTCTTCTTCTTCGCATTTCAAGCTTATTGCGTACCCTAATACAAATAACCATAAACAAACGATAACCCCAATAATAGAACTATTCCACAAATGGTTTGGATAATACCCTGAATACATCGTTAAGCAAAATAACCATAACAATTTTATTAGGGTATCATAAAGGGTGATACGGTCAAAATTTGGTCAATATCAACTTGACGTATTTCTTTCAATTTTGCATTTAAAAAACCTGAACACCCCTCATTTTGAAGGTGTGTGTGTGTAGAATGTTGCTCCTATTTTGATTTGGGAATTCACTCTTCAGTTGTCAAAATGCCGTCCAAGCAAGAAGAGCAGCGTATCAAAATTTTGCTCGCGTATCGCGAAAATCCGAGCAACTCGCACGCAAAGTTGGCAAAATCGCTAAAAGTTGCCAAATCAACCGTTACAAATGTAATTAAAGTGTTTGGGGAACGTTTGTCGACAGCCAAGAAGTCTGGATCGGGGGGAAATCGAAAACCGGAAGCCGCTGAGACGACAAAGAGAGTTGCCGGTAGTTTCAAGCGAAACCCTAACCTCTCTCTCCGAGATGCCGCAAATAAGCTGGGTGTATCGTCTACAACCGTGCATCGAGCCAAAAAACGAGCCGGACTATCGACTTACAAGAAGGTAGTGACTCCAAATCGCGATGATAAACAAAATACGACGGCCAAAGCGCGATCCCGGAGGCTGTACACGACGATGCTGACGAAGTTTGACTGCGTGGTAATGGACGACGAAACCTACGTCAAAGCCGACTACAAGCAGCTTCCGGGACAGGCGTTTTATACGGCAAAAGGAAGGGAAAGGTAGCAGATGTTTTCAAGCACATGAAACTGTCAAAGTTCGCAAAGAAATATCTGGTTTGGCAAGCCATCTGTACCTGTGGCTTGAAAAGCAGCATTTTCATAGCTTCCGGGATTGTCAACCAAGAAATGTACGTGAAAGAGTGTTTGAATAAACGTCTGCTGCCTTTCCTGAAGAAACACGGTTGTTCCGTACTGTTTTGGCCGGATTTGGCATCTTGCCATTACGGTAAAAAGGCCATGGAGTGGTACGCCGCCAACAACGTGCAGGTGTTTCCCAAGGACAAGAACCCTCCCAACACGCCAGAGCTCCGCCCAATTGAGAAATACTGGGCTATTGTCAAGCGGAACCTAAAGAAGACCAAAAAACTGCTAAGGGCGAGCAGCAGTTGAAGGCAAACTGGCTTTCTGCGGCGAAGAAGGTGGACAAGGTGGCTGTACAAAATCTGATGGCAGGGGTCAAGCGTAAGGCCCGGCAATTCGGATTTGGAAAAGCGGAAGCCTAACTGAATATTTTTCCTGAATTTTATACTAATTGAACTTGAAAAAGAAATTTAATTTGATTTTTTAAATAAACGATTTCACCGATTTACACGCGTTTTTCCTTGACCAATTTTTGACCGTATCACCCTTTATTTCTTCCAATGAGCAGAAATGATTCGAAACATTATTCGCGATTTTCTCAGAAGCAACTTTTGAAACATGGGA